TCACACTGTAAAGCAACTAAACCGCCTATAATGTGCAGAGAGGCGATATTCCTTAGCATTGGAAAATTGTCACCATTCTGGGCCCAGTTGTTCGAAGGCCGATTAGCGCTTAACCCGGGGTTAATCTCGGATAATTTTCTGTGCTATTTTTAGAGCTTCCAATCATCGAACTTGTAGACAAAAAGAACTAAAACTGAAATGCCATCTGAATTTAAATCTCGCACTAACCCTGGGTTATCTTAACCCAGCTTTGAACAACTCGGCCCTGATTCAAAATCAATCAGCAAGACGTAATGTAATTTTAACTTTTGATGTGACGTGATTGTGCAAATGAAACCTCTCTGCCAGTACCTCCAAATTTTCTTCTTCGTCATCAATATTTCTCAAAGTCTTGAATTACATTCCAATTATTCTTGCCTGGAGTGATGGATACGAAATGGTTGCTTAGCAACGTGGTTCAAACCCGACTTGGTTACCACCAAATAGTAAATACTCGCTTACCATTTAAGAAGCCAGCAACCGCCCTCCCGCCATCCCCTTCCAAAAAAGAAAGTTGTCGCCATCTTGAAGAAGGCGTTAACCATTTCAAAAAGACTGTATAACTTTCTCAGCCTTAGCATCGTGATTACTCTAGCAAGTACAGTCAAACCTGGTTAATATGGACACTGAGTGGGCCATAGAAAGTGTCCGTACTTAAGCGGGTTAAATTTAGAGAAAATATAAGGGCTTTCTTTCCCCAGGGAAGAGACTGGACTAGGGTATAATTATTTTAATGTTGCGTGATATGGAATTTTCTGGGAAATGCAACTGTCGAGAAGCTAATGATATAAACACCCAGAACTACATGTACCCAAACCAGCGCTTAAGAGAGTGTTATGGTGTTGTTCAAAATAGCCGTTTGGCCGCTGTACCGGTCGCTTATAGCTACGTTGGAGTCGGTATTTACAACGTACATACAGTACCGCTCAAAAGTAAGTTACCACCCTCTTGCGAGACGTGAATCGCGTCGCACGCTACGCGATTCTTGTAGCGCAGTACGCGATTCTCGTAGCGCGCGATGGCCTAAAAACTGTAAGTATCGTGGCCAAAATTATTGAGCGATTTAACCAATCAGTGGTAAAGCTTGTATGCAGTTGTCCTTCCGCACTATACCGGATATATTTGAAAGGACTTTTCCTGAAACGCTGATCGAGGTTACATTAATCATAATAGTATTTTCATGGTAGCGTTACGTTTTTCAAATGTATTCGGATTAGTGTCGGAAAAATCTGTTTTTCTTCCTTTTTTGGCCAAACCAGAGAAGCACAAAGGAATGCGTTTTGAAATTTATCCGGATTGGTTTGAATCGAGATCATTTCATACGGCTTTATCAAGTTTATCTGTTTTCAAATTTATCCGCAATATTTTGGACGGAACCTTAGAAATACAAAATATTTGTTAGTTTGCTATAAAAGATTTAGATAAGTTTTTCTTGCAATTTTTGATAATAGCCTTTTATAACATTGCAAATTTATACATAATAAAGTTATATTAAGAGAATGGGAATTTGTTATTCCAAGAAATTTTGACATAAGAACAAGGACTGGCAGCTTTAGATCTTTAACGGTTAAGTATAAATTTTGTTTCATATCTACTCGAGTTTCGTGTGTTTATACCAAAGGAACCCGTTAGTACCGCGACTATTGGGCCTTTAAAACCCTGCAATAGTTATTCCTGATAATCTGTCGATCATCAACACTCTAAGACTGTTATTTACGGGCTTTGAATGACTTTAAGGATAAAAAGCTGCCGTTAGTCTGTTATACTTTAATAGCGACCTAGGTTACATTATCTTAGAGCATTTTTCCTTGAACTTATTGTTTGAAAAATTTGTATTGTAAGACATATGAAACTTAAAATTTTGGAAAGTAAATTGAATTAAACCCTGAACAGAACTTCTAGACTGTGTCTTGTGAGTTTATGATATCTCTTATGGATGACAAGGTGGAAATCAAGGTTTTCGAGGAAAAAAAAGTTGTGTAATTCGGAATCCGGAAACCGAAAATTTTCAGCCCTGAAATTGGATTGCAACATTCTAGATACTTCTGGATGACTGCGTAATCGGAAATTCTCAGCTCGAAATGTATGTGCAATTCTATCAATGTAATGGAATTGAACCCAATGTAATATCTCTCACCAAGTTGCCTCAGTTTTTCTTTACACAACAAAGGAAATTTTTTTACATTAGAAAAGAGTTTAATCCCCACATGCAATAACATGGCCGCCATTTCATTTTTTTGTTCACCAATATGGCTGCTGTGACGTCAAGAGAAAACGATTTAAAACGGAGTAAAAAAGGCAGTGTTCCCCTAGGTTGTCAGTTTCACCGCTAATAGGCCATTTGCACTAAGAGGCATGTGACACCGTTTTTATGAAAATGAAAGTTATATGATTTTGCCTTCGAAAAACGATTAGTGGGTCATATCTTAAACAAAATAATGGTGATTTGGTTTTTCAAACC